AAACATTTCTTCCTAACATCTAAGCTAAAACTCCCCTCTTTTGGTTTATGCCATCCCTCTTTGTCCTGTTGCTATCAGATCCCAATGCTGACCAGCCCCAGCATCACCTGCCATGGTCCTGCCAACCACAGGACTGATTTGGGTGTATAAGGGGGTTATTTTCATGCATCTCTCTCCATTCATAAGCTTACTGAGGTTTTGTTCTGCGGCATATTGCAAAGATCCTGTAGGACAGAGATTTTTATTTAGAAAAAACTTTAGTATGATCGCATAATTACAGGAAGTCAAGGTTTAAAAAGGCAATAAAATGAACTGGTAACAGTACTACAGGTATCAGCAGATTTGTGATGAAACCATCGAAGTTCACAACCTCCCCAAGACATTATGAGTTACAGATGTTGCAGGTAGTTATGGATTTCTGGCCTGAGCTTTTCTAAACCATTACAGAAAAGAAACAGTCATGTAAACAGGTCTTTCTAGGCTCTGTAAGCAGATTCATTATGGTCCACTACGGCTGACTGATATTCGTATTTTCTTTTTAATTCACTAGTTAGGAATTCAATGGATGAAATCCATTTCTGTGCCATGCTTGGGCTGCAGATGTGTGGCTGTGCAGACAGTGGAGTGCAAACCCTCGAGGCCGCAGCTGGAGGCTGAACCCTAGCCCAGTCCCTTCTGCTGGGGGTTAACCACTGGCTAATGGGGGCTATTTCTTCTGAGCAGCTTCTGCCAGTGATGTTTCCCTGCCTGTCCTCAAAGAGGGCTGACTGATGATGAGTAGGGTCAGCTGAGGTATCTGAGACCAGACCCATCTCTGCTGTATCCTTACTGACAGATGGCAGGTAATTTCCTGAGGGGAGCAGAACCGATCAGAATGTGTCAGTGGAAGGAATGGTTGGGAGCAGTACTTGATCCATTTCAGAAATACTTTCAGAATATTTCAGAATACTTGGTCCATTTTGGAAATTTCCCAAGCACTCCAATCCTTCTAGTTAGTGAGAAAGTGAAGTTCCTTCCACAGAGAGAAGCTGTGGCTGTGGGCTGTGTTTGTTCTTTTCAGCTGAAGGTGCTGCCCCAAGGACTGTTGGTTGAATCAGTTGTTTGCAACCCCAACTTGTTACTGTGTAAGAACAGGTAGAACTAGATAAAGATGACAGGAATTTTCCTATAGCCCTGTGGGCTACAAAAGGTAATAATAAACAGGCCTGGCTCTGTTAAAAGGATGGTTTAGCATTGGGTTGGGCTGCTTAGTGGTACCGGGACCCGGTAGACCCTGCAGCCCCCCAGGCACTGGCTTAGGATAGCCGCTGCGGAGGGTTACTGTGGGGTCCATGTCTCTTGCTCACTTCAGAGCAAATTCTTCTTTTTTCTTTTCTGCATTACTGCTATTACAGTAGCACAACAGAGTGATTCTTTGTGGCTGCTGTTGTGTTGTGCGTGGTGCCCATTCAGCTTTTGTTCTGCCTCCAAGGAAAGGGCTCTTGGAGGTGGGGGTATCACTGAGTAGCAGTGCCTGCTTTGGGTTTCAAAAGTTTCTTAAAATTTGTGTGTTGCAAGCGTTTTGGTTTTTTTTTTTTTTTTTTTTTTTTTTAATACTGAAAAGCACCTGAAGCAGCCACATCTCCCTTTGCAGAGCAACTTGTTTTAACCCGCTTCAGGCTGCTTCCACTTACTGTGTATTAATTGCTGAAGTGTGTTGATAACCCTTGGTTGAGCACAGCTGAAATACCTGGCACACTGCAGGGCAATGAGGAGGGATGTTTGACAGCTCTCAGGTGGAAAGCCCTGTGTGCTAAAGGACTCCAGTACCTACAGGGAGCTTAGAACAGGAGGGAGTGTGACTTTTTTTACAGGGCAAACAGTGACAGGGCAAGGAGGGATAGCTTTAACCTAAAGGAGGGGAGATGCAGGTTGGATGTCAGGTGGAAATTCTCTCCCCAGAAGGCAGTTAAGTGCTGGCATTCCTGCCCCAGATCTCTGGGTGCCCCATCCCTGGAGGTGTCCGAGGCCATGCGTGGGCAGCCTAAGCTGGTGGAGACAGCCAGCCTATAGTGAGGGTGGGGCTGGAGGGGCTTTGGAGTCACCTCCAACCCAGCCATGCTGTGCTTCTGTAACTCTGTGAGAAACCTTGCTTTGAAGTTACTTTCAGGTTACATGGAAAAGAAGTAGAGCTGGGAGCAGGGGGTTTGAAGTGCCAGATTGGTGGCTGAGGGTGAAGTGGCAGCACTAGGGTGGCCAGGTCACAGGGCAGCAGTGTCACTGGGGGGTGAGTACTGGGGGGCCAGTGAGTGATGTTGTCCTTAGTCACATGCTGATCTACTGGTAACGAAATGCAGCTAATCACAGTTTGCCCCTGGATGTTTAAAGAGGGTTTAACAATCCAAACACAAATGCAACCCTGTTGCCTTAGAGAGGGTGTAGCTGTGAACAGAATTTGGCCCTGTCTTTTAAACCTTGCAGTTTGTCTTGACTGCTGCATGCTTTATTTTTAGAGTATAATAAAGAGCTTTTGTTTCAAGGTATATTTAACAGGGGAGTGGAAGGGAAGTAGGAGGGTTCTGTGCACAGGGAATGAATCTCTTGGTCTTTTTCTTCTATCCCACCCTCTCACCAGATACTCTTGGAGGGTGGAGTGTAGACAAAAAAAAGAGAAAAAATAATTATTAAAAATACTAAAATCATAGTCTAAAGAATTGTCAGGGTATTTGGGCCCAAAGGCCCGATGGGCACATGAGCACAATGAAACTTTCATTATTAGAAAAAAGACAGAGATACCTTGGAGAAGGGATGTGGCAGGGTGAGGGTGGTGGTCCCCACATCCCCTGGAGTGTGCAGAAGAGTCCTGGTCCTCTGGCATCATTACAGTTTGGAGGATCCTCACTGTGGGAAGCTAGGACTTATTCGGCCCCAGGAAGGTACCAGGGAGAGCAGAGCCCACCAGTGCTTCCATAAGGACATGTGCAAGGCCATACATGCTGTCACTAAAGGGCTGTTTTCTGATGTCAGCAGTTTTAATGAGGCCCTGTAACTCTTGAAGGCTGTGGGGTTCCTCGGTGCTGCAGTAGGCACACATGAATTGTGTAGGGAATGGGACTGTTCGCAAACTTCCCTAGCTATCCCCTGTCACAGAGCAGCAGACAACATCAACCCCACTATTAAGCCATCAGTGGAGTCTGGACATCAGAACCTTTCCATCCAGAGGGGGAGATGGGACCTATCCAATAGAGGTGCTGGGGAGCCTTTCTCTAAGAGAAAGCATGTCAGCTTTGTCACATGCATTTCTTCCTCTCTTCAGCTTAGCTTTTTCTTAGGAAAGTCAGAATCCTGTGCCCTGCTATTCACCAGCATGGCCAGGCTCTGCAAACGTTTTCCCTCCTTCACTTTTGTTGCTGGAATCTAGTAAGTCTCTCTAAAATTCAGAAGGGATTGGAAATGCCCTGAAGGGATGCACCTCCCTGCTGCACTGCCTAGAGAGGGGACTTTCCCTCTGGCTGGACCCCAGTGAAGGGCAAGTTCCCAGTGCTCCCACTCTGGTTGCCATGCCCTGGGCAAGGATTCCTTAATTTGGAGGTATAATCAGAGTATTGATCACTTAAGACTACCTCTGCCTAAGTTCTATGTTTTTCTTTGGCTGGAAAGGGTGTGCGTATTCTCTCCTTTTTTTTTGTGCTCACATGGTATGACCCCTATTGTGGCATTAATTCTGATTCCAGCCTTCACTCCACTGATTTTTGAACATTGCCCTCCTCCCCTGTCCCCAGCTCTGGTAGTAGGTGCTCTCCAGGCCCTTGGTTTCACTCCCAGAGGACAGGCTGTGACTGCATTCTGGCTCCTGATCCAGGGCCAGACCCAGCACATGGCCATGTGCTGTGTAGCTGTGTTTAAAGGGTGTTGTACTCAGAGTAATGTGCTGTTTCCACATCTGCCTGTGTGGACATGCCCTTTGCCTGCTTGAGTGGGCTGGGAAGGCCACTGGCCACCAGGCTGAGAGTTCAGCAGCCCTCTCCCCTTTTGTATCCATCTGCTGGTGCAGGGCACTGAATCGGGTAGATTCAGTGAGACGGTGTGATGGGGGCATGGTATAGAGTGGTGGAAGCCTTTCTTTTTCCCTTTGTCTTAAGACTTGCACCAACTTGTCTCATAAAATCCTCTCCTGCCTTTCAAATCCAGTCAACATGAGTCACCGAGCCCATCCTTTGCCTCTCATTGCAACACGGATGACAGAAACCATCCAACAGGAGTGCTTGAATCCATGATGAGTTTTGTTCTATTGCATAAATCTACTCGCCCTTTGCAGGTGAGTTGCTCTAGAGTCATTGCCCGGGTGGTATTCCTGCAGAGGAGTGTGGCAGAGCTGTGTAGGCCATACAGAGGAGTTATCCCACATCCCAGTCTTTATGCACTCAGTGTAATGGTAGAGATATTCTGAGTCAGGGTCCTCATTGCGTGTTGTGGCATCTCACAGTTGGGTTCCTATAAATTGCTGTTTTAAGATGAAAACACACCAACCTGCATAGACTTCCTGGAGGGAGCAGCTCAGGGAAGGGGAGAAAAGGAAGAAGAGGTCTGTAAGTGCAAATACCATTTAGGAACGAGACAAAATGAAGATGTTTTCTTCTTCCCTGATTTATTCCTGTGTGTATATGTGTATGCATTTTTTGTCCGTATATTTATCTATAAAGAAGAGAAATCAACTAGATCCATTAAAATGACAGCTTCTTGGCACTACAGTACATGGAACATGTCCGCCAAACTGAAACTAATTATCACGGAGATGAATAACCAAACCCACTCCTTCCTTTATCGCCCCGTCTGCCCCCAGGGCTTCTCCCTCCTCCTCCTGAAGCGCCGTGCCGGCGCACACAGGGTTACAGCTGCACCTGTCTGGGTGTACCTGTCCCACCGCACCTGTGCCGACAGCCAATGGGCGCCGACCCGGGGCTGCTGTCAGCAACATGCCTGCCTGCAAAACCTCAACATAAATCAAACACTTCGCAGGCAATGTCTGTGAGCAGCAGGTCCTAGACGAAAGAAGTCATTGGGGGTTTTACCGTTGGCAAGGATTTGGGAACACAAGGAAAGATGTCCAATGAACTCGAGTAAGTAGAGTGTTTTTGTCATTCTGGCCCCCCTGAATATGGGGCTGAGCGTCTTTTTGGGGGCTGATTGAAGGACTGCAGGTCTCAGGGAGCTCTGAGGGAATCCTCTCCAGCAGCATGGAGGATTGGATGTCTGTGGGATGTTCTACTCCCCCCCCCACCTGCTGCTGCCCGGCAGAGGTTCCACTCCACTCGTGTTATTTAGCAGGTTTTTAAGTCCCAAACCTGGTTTATTTATTTATTTTTTTTTCCCCTGGGATAAAATGTGACACATCAGGTCTATCTAGGGGAAATCTGCCATCTAACACAATCTGCAGCCATCCCGTGCTTTTCCGGGTGTTGTTTTGTGGTTTTTTGTTTGTTTTTTTTTTTTAGTAAAAAAAAAAAAAAAGTATAAATTATTTAACAGTTTTTGATGAGTTTCTCTGTTTTTCTTTTTTTACTTTATTTTTTTGGGGGTGGGACAGCATGCTAAGGTACATGGCTTCACATTATTCCATCAAATAACTGTAGTTGACTGTACAAACTCGTTTTGACATGTATTTTTTTTAAAACAAGAAAATGCACTTTTTGTTGATGCCCTATAACTCCCTGTCCTCCGTGTGTGTGGCTGCGGATGCTGATGGCTGTGTATTGCCACCCTGCATCCCGCACCTCTGTAACAAAGCTAAGGAGTGTGACATCAGTGTGATGTGAATCGATGCTGGAAAGTGATGAAGAAAATCAGTGAATGCTGTTGTTGATGGAGCTTTCCCGAGCTGCCCAGATGTGTGGCCGTGTATGAAATACGTACGTGTAATAAAACGTATCTAGAAATATAGGTACAACAAGATATATTTACAGTATATGCACAGACAGGGATGTATCTGTGTACAGATATGGCACTTCAGAAGGTTGTTTTGAAAGAAATGCACAGGGGTGTGTGTTTTTACAGACCTGACAGAGGCATTGTGACAACTGACTTCTTCCTAATTAAGAGCCCTGAAAATGTGCAGAGCTAATTGTTGGTTAATGTAAATACTGGGATCCTTACACTCAGGGGTCAGTTAAGAATCAGTGACAAATTTTCACCTTCTGAACTCTTCAGGTGATCTGCAGTCACTGTGTTGGGGCTTCAAGTCAGGCTGTGTAGTAATCCTGAGTGCACGAGCACATTGCAGACTGAGAACTGAGATTGATGTATCGGTAATTATGGAGCAGGGCATGATGTGACCCATGAGTTACATGGTTGCTTGACTCCTTTTTCTAACGGACTGTTAACTCTGGGCCTTTCACTTGGGAAGGGGGGGCTGGCAGGGGCAGCATCCCTTTGTCATTCAGTTCCAAGGACTGATAACACACAAAGGTTGCTGCTATCTTCTCTCAGATAGCATAGTGAAATGCAGGTGAAAGGCTCCTGTAGGTTGAACCCAGGGACACCTTTGCAGATCTCTGTGAAAATCTCCCTTTAGAGGTCCCCAGCCCGCAGCTGGAGAGAGGGTTTCCTGGGGGCAGGTGTGCAGACCCCAGTGAGGAATAGGCTGTTGGGACTGCAGCTAAGGTTCAGGAAGGGCAACGGTGGGTGTCTGTGTCTCTCTCACAAATAAGGTGTTGTAATGCAGCCCTCGCATGAGGCTGAGCACAGCAGGACAGATAGCAGAACAGATCCCAGGATGGATCCAAGCTGTGGAACATGCCAGGCAGAGCTGTCAGGTACCTGCTGTAGTCCCGTGCACTGCTGCTGCCATAAAATTGGCAGAGTGAGCCATCTCTCCCAGCCATGGGCAGGGCTGCTAACCACCAGATCAGGCTGCCCAGGATCCCACCCACCCTGGAGGTGCCTGAGGCCAAGGTGGATAGAGCCCTGGGCAGCCTGATCTGGTGGGGGCAAGCAGCCCATGGTGGGGGGTGGGAGCTGGATGGGCTTTGGGGTTCCCCACAACCTCAGTGATTCTGTGATTTATTATCTTCGTCTTTGTGACTTTAATTTCACAGAAAGACCTGGGAAGATGCTAGCATGACATGAGAGAATGAGATGTTTTGCCTATTCTAAAATATTCTGACTGATAATTTCCATTGTCGCCTGTATTGAACTTGTGTCTAGTGCTGCAGTGCGTGGGCTTGAAGGAGTTAACCAGGAGTTACTCCCAGTTGTGGTTTTGTGGTCGAAACCATGATTGCCAGAAGCAAATTTTTGTCATGCATAAGGCGTGTTATTAAAACTTGAGTTATGCTCCTAGTGAATGAAAAGTTAAAGCCCTTTTATGAAATGCTGGCAGCAAAGCACACAAGGGATAACTGCACTGAAGCAAAGTACACTTCCACGGCAAATGTGCATTGGATGTGTTGTTTTTTTTATAAGTTGTATGAGTAGGGATTTGCAAATTAAAGATGCAATAACTGCTATGCAATTCAAAACGAAGGAGTAACCAACCCCCCTCTCCTCCCCCCCCCAAATAAACTGGAGACTCAAAGCAGACATAAGTCAACATTTACATTGTGTCTCTGTTTTGAATCACAGTTTCAACTGATGGATACAAGTTACAGTGATGGGAGTTTGCTCTCTCCATTTCAGTCTGGCACTGGAATTGTTGGTTGATGTAAACTGTTCTGCTGGGGTCGCGCTGCACTGTGAGCACTACAGTGAGTGGAGTAGAGTGTGACTGTGTTCTGGCTGGAACTCTATTGCCAATATGCAAGTTTCGGAGGCTCAGGAGATGAGGGAGTGTGGTGGCACTGATGTTTGTTGTTGTCCTTCCCAGTGCTGCTGTTCTGGCTGGTGGCTGTGGTTATGGGTGAGAGTAGTGGAGTGTGAGGTACCTGATCCCAGAGTACTTCTTTGTCCCTGCAGTGTTTATAATCTTTAGCATTCAAAGACAAAGAGCAGGAGTTGCTTACCAACACACTTGACTCCTGGTGCCAAAGTTTTGTTTCTTTTTGGTTTTTTTGTCTTTACCGAGCATCTGAGCTGGAATGCTTGCTCTCAAGAAATGCATTGTTTAACAGGCTTACACCCAGGATGGGATGATTCATACTTGTATCACAGAATTATATAGAATCACCAAGGTTGGAAAAGATCTCCAAGATCATCCAGTCCAATTGTCCACCTACTACCAATATTTCCCCACTAAACCATCTCCGTCAGTACATCTAAACATTTCTTGAACACTTCCTCAACCATCTCCCCAGGCAACTCATTCCAGCTCCTGAGCATCCTTTCAGAAAAGAAACTTTTCCTATACAACCTGAATCACTTGTAGGGCAAAGCATTTCTTGAAATGCATTGTGGAGTGGGGTAGTGGTTCTGTGGCTCCAGCACTGACCTGGCTATGTACCGACAGAGCAAACCTTCTGTGAGATTAACAGCCACCGCTGCTCTTATGGCATTTGTAAATGAGCACTGAGAAGTAGATGAAACAACATAAGGAGGAGACAGCCCCATCTCCTAGTGTTTGACTGCACGACTCTCTGGGGGATGCAATGAGGGAAGAATGGAACTGTGAACAGAAACAGTCTCTGTTCTGTTGGGAACCTCATAACCCACAAATATTTATTATGTTAAAAACTAATTACCTGGAGAGCAGTAGAAAATAAATGAACTATGTGTGTTGGTGGAGAGGATGGTTTGTGTTCTGAACACATACATGAGGTGTGTCCTGATCTGTCTGCCATGCAAATATGAGTGGGAAGTGCTTCAGATGTGCTGGTGAATGGCAGATGCTGCCAGGGACACTGGTTCAGGGCCTGCTGTGCTGTGCATTCACAGAATCATTAAGGTTGGAAAAGACCTCTAAGATCATCCAGTTCAATGGTCCATGTACCACCAATGCTGCTCACTGACTCCAAGTGCCACATCTCCATGGTTCTTGAACACTCCTTGGTGATCCCACAGCCTCCCTGGGCAGCCTGTGCCGTTGTCCAACCACTCTTTGGTAGAAGGTTTTCTAATATCCAGCCTTTGAAGGCAGATCACCCTGAAACCAAGGGCTGAAGCACATGATATCACATGCAGATTTGGGAAAAAGCAGCTGTAATTCCTGAGTTGCCAACAAACTCTGTGCTGTAACCTGTTATGTTAGGCAGGAAGGGTGCTGTTTGAAAGGTGCTACTGTTTGTGAAATATGGCTGTATAGGTGGATGCCTTTGGGATGATGTTAAGTACAGCAGGGTGCCAGCAGTGTCCCCAATGCGGAATGGTCCAGGGCAGCTGGGAGCAGAGATTTGGGCCTAGTTCTGTTCATTTGTGCTCACTAAGCAGGATCAAGTCTGTGGGGAACAGGAGTCATTTGTCAAACATACAACAGCCTTTTCCCTCTTCATCTCAGGCAGCGTGCATCTGCTTGGTGGTTTCCACACACAGTAAAGAACAGTGTGGGATCTTTGCTTGGTGCAAGGGTCAGCCTGCCTCATGCACAGCCCAGTTCTGGGGGAGACAACAGAGCTGAGGATGGCTCTGTGCTGAGTGTTTTCAGATGTGCTTATTTATTAAACTGGCAAAGATAGGGTAAAAATTAGAATGTTGCTCAGAAGTTTGGGTTTAGACATGGGGATGCTGTCCTTCCTTTGCAGGAGGGCCTGAGATATGGATAAAACTTCTGCTCTGATGCAGCCATTATGCTGAGCGCTCCTTTTTTTGCCCTGCTCTTAAGTGTGGTGTTGGTCCATTCCCATGTGTTCATACGGGGCCCTGGGGAACACTGGGGCTATCCCAGCAGGGAGGTGAGCGCAATGCACTAAACCGGGGCTGAGAACCAGCAGTGTCTCTGCAGTGCTGTAAGCTGCGGGCTTCGCTGTGCTGCTCTGAGTTCTGCTGCTGGTTGCCATGGACAATTTGATGTTTCTGCAGAGTATCTGGCACTGCTCATGTTTGGGTTGCAGTTAGAGGGGCAAGAACAAAGATGAGCAACACAAAGCTTAAAGGCCAGCAAATCATCCACTGAAACCAAGAAAAAGTGAAAGGAGTATGAGTGCTTCTTTCCTTCAGGACTGATCTCCCCACCCAGATCCTCTGGTTATATTCTTCTGTTTCAGCGTAGCCCTGAGTGTTTTTTCATAATCAGGAGGCCTCTGTTATGCTAGGCTGGGCAGATAAGTTGGAAAAACAGATGGAATTGGATGGAGCAGGGAAAAAGGGCTGGTATCACCTTGTGTCAAACTTGGGAGCTGTTTGGAAACAGACTGCTCCCTTCCCAAATCTGCTTTGCACATGATCCCAAGGCTCCCAGGAAAGGAGAGCTCTGGCCCCATGGGTCTGTGTTCTACTGACTGATCCCCATTTTGTCTGAGCCTCTGCACCACGGCAAGTGCCTGCAAAGGAAAGATCATTTTGTTCAACAGAGCAGACAGTTTGCTGTGGACAAACTTGACATAGCCACACAGAAGAGGCATCATGGAGAGTGATGAAAGTAAAGTTCATATGTTTTTGGATCTGGATTTGGATGTTTCTTTCCAGATCTCTACTTCACAGAGATTGCTAATGCTGGGTTGGAGGTAGGTGTAGAACATGTTGACATGACTGTATGTTGCAGTTGCATGGATTGAGATGCACCTGGTGCCAAAGAGGTGGCTCAAACCTGTTATCATATCTACTTATCTCCTTGGATCACCCTCTTTCTGCAGGTTTGGGCTCACCTTGTTAGCCTTCAGGTCAGAGCAGAGTGCTTGCAAAAAGATGGGATGGAGCCTATGATGGGGCAGGCACGTGCTGGGGTAGTGATGCTGTGAGCATCACGGCTGGGCTGGCCAGCAAAACAGAGCCACATGTGGACACAAGATGTAGGCTCCTGGCGCACCTGTCAAACTTAATTCTTCATAAACTGGACACAGCTGTGAGCAGTTAGGAGCTTCTGCCCTTGCCCCATCTGCATCTCCCCCACGGTATGGGAAGATGCTCAAGAGCTCACAGTGGCTCATGGATCTTCACGACCAACAGTGGCCTGGTTGAGGGCTTAGGTGAGGGAGAAAAATGCTCTGAAGCATTCTTCCTTGTGATATCTTTTCTTTTTTTAAGCTCCTGGGTGCTTTGTTGCTACATCCTCCCATGGTGTGTTTATCTGTGTTGATTACCAGCAACAGGAGCTGCATCTCACCCTGAGAGTGTGTTGTCGCTGCCTATTCTTCCTTGAGAAGATAGGATTGGGAGCGGGTGAGCAGTCCTGCCCAGACAGGACCGTCTGCCTATCGCCAAGCCAACCCGATGAAATCTGAGTCATGCCTATTGCTCGCCTTGGAGATGGCAGTGGCACTGATGGGGAGGGAAGGCTGCGTGAGAAACGCTAAAGACAACAGAACTCACAGAGCACCTGGTGAGATTTCATGCATGGGTTAAAACCTCTGCTGGTGTCTTGTCCTGACGCGTGAGGAAGAGGAGTGAGCTCAGCATATCCTTACAGCAGTGCTGGGGGCTGTCCGTAACTAGGAGCTGCTGCCATGCCTCCATGGGGGCACTGACAACAGTGGGGACTGGGTGCTAGGCTGTTAGCAGTGCCCATAGCAGGCTCTCTCCTGTGCGAGGACAACGGGACAACTGTTGGTCTCTTGTGCTGCTGTGGGAGAGGCTGGGAACCACTGTAAGTTTGGGCACAGAGGTTGTGTTTTCTTATGGGGAATACCATGAGCTGTTGCAGCAACAGCATATCTGTGTGGATGTGACAGTGTGAAGCCACTGACTCATCCGCCCCGAGTGGGGTGAGCCCACAGTGCAGAGCCTCAGGGGGTATGCATGTAGGATTTGCTGGAGAAGAAGGAAGGGTGACCAGTGTTTGGATAACTATGTGTCTGGCAGCTCGTTAACATCAGATAGAGAGACCTGGAGAAAGTGCCAGAAGAGAACAGGAGGGACAGTATTCTGGTGCATTATTTCTCAGCACGCGTAGTCCCACGAGCCTCAGCTCTGACAGGTATTATTTCTTAGGGGAAGGGAGTGTGCTGAGATTGGCCTGTCTGCTTCCCTCAAAGAGAAATCGCCTACAAATGACAGAAAATCCTGCCCCTCTATGCAGCCCCCAGCGTGACCCTGGCCTGCTTTTGAGATCTTGGGTTTTGGGAGCTGAGGACCAGGAAGGTGGCCTTCCTCCATTGCAGCAGTGCCTTTCAGAAGCCCTTCATGACTCCAGCTGGGTGGCATGGAAGTTACTGTGAAAAATCCATGTCCTTCATCCCCTTCTCCCTCTGTCTGGCTCAGTTTTAGATCTGTGCGTCTGATGAAGAATGACACCATGAACTTCCAGAAGTTCTCCTACACTAATGAAGATGAAGCCTGGAAAACCTACCTGGAGAACCCCCTGACTGCAGCAACTAAGGCAATGATGAGGGTGAATGGAGATGATGATAGTGTGGCTGCCCTGAGCCTCCTCTATGACTACTATATGGTACGTTACTACTGGGGCTGGGTTTCCTGGGGAAGTCAGTCACACAGGACAAGTGTGAAGGTAAAATATGCTGAGTCCTCTGAGGGAACCTCCCCAAGCTCTCTGTTGGTTGTGCAGTGATCCTTAGGAAACACCCAGCAATAGAGGACCACTATTGACCCCAGTCACAGAAGTAAACTGATCTCATTCTACATAATTCTACAAAGCCGGAACAGAGTGGAAAACTGAACATGAGTGTCTTGGGTCTCAGGATGGGGTTCTTTGTATATAACAGCTTTCTGATAAGAAGTGGGGATGCTTTGAGAGACACAAAGCTGAAACAGCCTGGTGCCTTGCAGATTCTCCAGCTTTCTCACTTCCAGCAGTGCTTTAGGCTGGGGCTGCGTGAAATGCAGATAGGAATGCAATGGAACCGACAAACTGATGTTCCCGTTCACCTGGGTGCTTTTCAGACTTGTTTTGAGAACGTGATGTGCTGGGTAGCCTCAGGTTACCTTGGCAATCTATGCCAGAACCAGAAGGAGGGTCTGGGTCTTCTGCATCCTCACCCTGTGTTTATTATTCACCTGGTTTTTTATCTGTGCCACGCAGACAGGGTGGAATTTGCCTTTGCTTTCCATGAATAAAATCTAACAACAAACTAACTCTTTGTTCTGCCTTGTTCTAGGTCCCAAAGGAGAAGAGGATTCTTCCATCGGGTATGATGGGACGTAATGAACTAGGAAAGAGGTGAGCTTCATTTTTGCTCTCCCTAGCTGTCTCATTTCCCTGCAGCTGCTTGCATGCATGATAGATCTCCTCACTTGCATAAAATAAACATCAAAGCAGAGTGTTATTACCAGCAACAGTGGAGGTTATTAACCCTGAGACATGTATTAAAATTCTTTAGGCCAAATCCCAAGCAGGTATACATTGAGCTACACCCATTTACACTACTGAGGATCCATCTCACTGTGTTCAGAAGGAGTTGCGCTAATGTGCAGTAGCTGAAGATTTTATCTTTATTTCCTATGTGGTGCCAATCGGATAGGCACTGAGGGAAGGTAATGGTGAAGTCCTCTCCACCACCACCAGGCTCATAAGGATTTCTGTTCCAACTGCTTGCAGTCTCCCAGGATTCTCTTCCGGTGAATCCCATTTGTCCTTTGAGGTTTTCAGATAATTAACTATGAAATTAATAGCTCATTCACCACTATGAATTCAGTTCCTCTTCCTGGGTGCTGTGTACTTTGGCAACCTTTTCTGGTTGTCTATTTTTAAATCCTCAACAGAATAAGCCTCTTAAATGGTCCTCCATTCCTTCTTCTTTAGTAAGTTATTTTCTTCTCTCTGAAAGACTTCTGGACCGTATTTATAACAGCAGTATATTTATTAACTACACAGATTCCAGCACATACCAAAAGGTGAAAGTCTTGAAGCAGAGCGGGTGGGAGCTATCCATTCAGCTCTATCTCCCAAAAGGTGTGGGGGCTGGTTTGTGGTTTTTTTTTTTTTTTTTTTTTTTTTTGAGCATGGTGACGGGGTTAACAAACTGCCTCTTCCAGCAGAGGGGATCAGTTCTTGGAATGCTGCAGTGAAGGATGATTTGTTGAGAGGGACGGGAATGCATTTTTGTCCATATAGCAGTTCTCTTTTTCATATTCCCCACTGCTTTAAACATTTAATAGCCCATAACAAGAAATGGTGGATATAGGCTCTGGACCCAACCAAGCTCCCAACCAAGTCTAAACCATATTCGCTGATTCTGTGCAATCAGCTCTTACCTGCAGAGCACCTCTGGCTCACACTGCGAGGTGTTTGAGTGAGTGGAGATCACCCTTGGCCCTGTCAGATTCCCGTACCAAGCAGATGTACATAGCTGGCTCAACAGCTAGACTGTGCAGCTTGCTCCTCAGCTGTGTACCGGCACATCTGCACCTTGGTGTAACAACTTGCTGGGGTGGTCCACCCTCTTCTCTAGTTTGAGATAGACCCCTTTCTCCACCAGGCAGTGCCACGGAATGGAGTATGACTCAGATATCATGTCCTTTGACGGCTCAGCCCATCTCATGAAGCTCTTGTCTGAAAACACTTCCATGACCCAAGAATATTGTGAACCACAGAAGAAGAATGGTTTAAGTCTTGAAGGTATCCCTACACCTCACAAGCCAGCCATGCTTCCACCAGGAACCAACAAACTGGATGCCACCCCAAATACCTACATGCTCCCTCCAGGAGACTTGTACGACAATAGCTCACTGAACTCCCTCTTCGAGACCAACTCCGTGACCACACCACAGCAGAGGTGGCAGCCAGACAGCACTTTCAAAGAGGATCCTCAGGAGGTCAGAGATACAGTGGGTTACACGTTGGCAGTGCTGGGGTACCACACAAGAATGTCTATAATTTGGGATTTCCTCGTGCTGGAGTCAGGGGGAGCTTTGCTTGTGCATTAAAAGCTTGGTGGCATTTCCACTGAATTACTGGGGGTGTTACATTAGTTTTAGAAGGCTTTGAAATGAGGCCTCTGTTGTAACGAGTGGGAGAAGGTGAACAGACAAAGCGGTGAAAGATTCTAAATGTGACTGTTTCATTTCCACTTTTCCATAGTCACTACTCTTCAGTGATATCCTCAAGCCCCAGCCAGAGCCACCCTGCTCTGAGAGTTATTCTACAGGTGATGTTAAGAGGTAATTATCAGTCCACACTCTGTGTTTCCAGTGCTCTTGACTGTGCACCTTTCCTAGGGAATGGCTGCAGCCCTCTCCCCGTCCCAGTACTGGCCTTGGCAGCAGCCACAGCAAACTCCAGGATCTTTTGCAGAGAGGTTGTATCTCAAAAGCAAATTGCTCTTCTTTGATGTTTTAGATGCAGAGGAGTTATGAATTTTAGTGTTTGGTGTTTGAAGTAAAGATTAGTGTTGGAAGGCTTTTGCTGTAATGTTATTGCCTCTCATTTCTAAAACATGGGAGATTTCTCCATTTCCCATCCTTCCCTCAGAGAGCTTTCCTGCTCTTGATATTGCACCAAACCTCCAAGTAGGCATTATCCCACTTCCCACCTTTCATTTGCCTCCTGAGTCACCTGACTCTATGACTCAGCTATCAGCTGTGGGAGTTTTATGACAGACAGCAGCTCGCATTTATGAATCAGAGGCTTTCTGCTTGCTGTCTGTCCCCACACTGAAGGCTCTCCTGGCTCTAGAGAAGAGAAGCTGCTGAGTCTGTCTTCAGAGATGGCACCACAGGAAGGCGGGGCAGGAAAAAGAGCAGGTGACTAAACAGGAGTTGGAGATATCCCCATCCTGCAAGTCCTCCTGTTTCTACAGACCCATTAGGACACAGTCCTCTTGAATTATCCGTTTACAGGTGACAGGAGACAATTTGGCAACAGGAATCTGAGTTTAGGATGTTTTGAAAGTGTCATTGGCAGTGCCTGTTTTGGTTTGTTTGGATTCAGGCTTTTGATTGTGTGCTGTTTCTGTAGCCATCCACACAAAAAGATGGGTCAAAGCAATGTATGTTATTTTTCTTTTTTGAAGAAAATATAACAAATGGTAAAATGTGGCTATTGGAAAAGTGCTGTTCCTCAGGGTGTTGGGAGAATCAGTATGTGCTGTGCTTCAAGGTGCTTGGCCACAGCCGTAGGGGAATGTTCATGGCAAAGGAGTTGGGCTAGCTGACCCTCTAAGGGCTCTATGATTCGATGTGAGATGGGAATAGGGTAGAGACTTGTGTGTGCAGTGTCTGTCACCTGTAAGGATGGAGGCATGCCTTGTTTTGCTTTTGAAGTGAAACAGCAGCATGTACTTATTCATCATTCTCTCTTTGTTCAATACAAGTGACTTTGAATATACTCTGGGGTCGCCCAAAGCCATTCATATAAAATCTGGGGACTCTCCCATGGCCTACCTCAACAAAGGACAGTTCTACCCCATCACGCTGCGGACAGCTGGAGACAGCAAATGTTTACACTTGTCCTCAAATAAAGTGAAGGTAAGAGACAAGCTGACAATTTTGCTGACATGTGCTGTAGTCAGGCATCCAGCAATTGTACTGGCCTGGGAAAGCAGCTGAACATAAAGAGTAATGGCTTTGTGGCTCTTGTTGACTTAAAGTGATGAATGGAATGGATTCAGTCATAGCAGGCTAATCCTCTGATGCACAGCAACAGCCTTCATGTAATGTGCCAGCTGAAACTTTTTGCAGTTGAGTTTGGGATGCACAAAATGCCCCCCAGCTGCTGGTTGGCTGAGGGGCCTGGTAGAAAGACCAGAGCTGCAGGGAAGTGCTCTGTCTTGCTTCTGGTGTGTGTGACCAGGCCTCAGTCACCCCCAAGGCTATGGCTGAACTTGAGCTTCCACCAAAGAAACGTAGTCCTCCAACCCTGACTTGTGTCTAGGAGCTAGATTTTGGACAACTCAAAGCTTACAGGATTCCTGAAACTGAGAATATCTCGAGAGACCTTCTAGAATGTCACAGCCTAATACTTACTGTCGCACTGCTAACAACTCTCCAGTGCAGGATGCCTTGGTGTCAGTGGAAACACATGGATAGTGCAAGTAGGGGACGTGCAGGGCACCTTGGTTCTGCTTCTGACTCTGTGGTTGCATGTCTGCAGGGTCGTGGTCAAGTCCCTTCCCTGTCTGCCTTAGTTTCCCCAGCAATGTAACGTTAACAATGATGTTAAGCTGCCCTTGCTCTTGCCCCGTGCATGGATGCACCAGATGGAAAGGGCAGTGAGGGCACCGAGCATGAGCCTGCACTGTGTACTGATATGGGATATTCTCACTGTGTTACAGAGTGTTGTGATGATTGTTTTTGACAACGAGAAGATCCCGACAGAGCAGCTCAAGTTCTGGAAGCACTGGCATTCTCGCCAGCCCACAGCCAAGCAGAGAGTCATTGACGTTGGTATGAGCGTGGCTGTGGTAATGGCTTGGGTTGACAGCTTCTATCATCAGTTTACTGCATTTCCAATACACAATAACACTGTTGCAGCTCAAAACTCTGGCCTGGGGGGAAGCAGAGGGGAGCAGGCTGATCTGCTGGCTTCAGATCTTTTCTGTCTGAATGGTCCTCCAGCATTTAAGATGTTGTTTGCCAAGTGTTGGGATATGCACAAGGAGCTCAAAATATACCAACGAAGAGCCTCAGTCTGAGGAGCAGAAACTGCTGAACTCTTTTGGCTCTTAGAGATGTGACCTATGGCCTCTTGGAATCTAGGAATCCAAGTTAGGAAAGGCTTTGATGCTGCTTGTCCTTTTCCACTGCTAGCACACAGGGTCTGTAGCTCATTGTGCTGGGCCAAAGGGTAGGGACAGAGATAGGGTTAGGAGTAGCATCTTCTGGAACATGTCATGGCTCAGAGCAGGACACGTGGTTGTTTGAATTTAGAACCAATATACATTGTATAAAATCACTGCTCATACAGCAGTTGCCAGCTAGGACATTGGGTCATTCCTGGCTTTACAGATGCATGCTAAGGTTTAAGCAGTGGTCAGCCAGTGAAAGGAAGACTTTCAGGGGTTGGAAAGCCCAGGGAATGTGAACAGTTCGGCAGGTAGAGTATAAACTGCTTCTTCATTGTGTTTCAGCTGACTGTAAGGAGAACTTCAACACAGTTCAGAACATTGAGGAATTGGCCTACAACGCGCTGTCCTTTGTGTGGAATATCCATGAAGAAGCAAAGGTACAATCTGCTTATGGAGGGGAAATGGGAAGCCCTAGGCCTCTCAAACAGCACAGCCATGTCCGTCCACTCTCTGGTTCTCTGGAAGACAGAGAAAGTTTCAAATTCAAACAATGATATTCCAGTGGCCCCAGGTTGTGTTTGTCTGCTAGAACTGCAGGGAAGGACACAGTGCTTCTCTGTGTGTTTAAGCATTGCCATTAGCTAATAAACATTCTGGCTACACCTGAGACTGGCTCAGAGATGTTTTCTTAGTGCTGATGGATGACTCCTGAAAAAAGCCCTTTGCAGCCAGCAGTGATCAGGGCTCTACTCACATGTGGCTGAAGCCTATTTAAATAAACTGCAGCTCAGGGAACAAAGCTCAGGGAACTCTTCCAAGGCGGAGTTTTGGTGCAGAATTGACTGACCACCCTTTTCTGAGTTGAGTGATGTGGAAGGTAGCCAAGCAGGTCACAAAATCCCTTTTGACCTTAAAATCTGCAAAGCTTATATCAACATCTTTCCTACAAAGAGAAAGAGCTCTGCTGTCTCTTCTGTATCTCTTCGTCTCTTGTTAATGCTTTGCTTTCCGGTGCAGATTGAAAGGAGCATATAAAAAAAAGATGAAAGACCTAAGGAAAAAAAAAAAAAAAAAAAGAACATAAATTCTGTCTCCCTGAAACTGGTATCTTGGGAAAATTCTGGTTTGCTTTGGAATCTCATTAAGCCCTTCTTTTAGCCCAAAGGCAACCTTACTCTTTTACAACCCAAGAGGTTAACAAATGTCTTCAAGGCAAAGTTGTCAGAAATGGAAATATGTCAGGTATGCGGCAAGCCCTCAGGGGCACCTCAGCAAAACTGGATTTAACTCTCAGCAGAAACTCTGTGCATGCACTCGCTTGGGGCTAGTAGGAGTGAGACTTCAGAGAGTTCCTCTGGGAGCCACAGTGTGAGGGTGTCCAGTGTCTGGGCCTTCCATTGCACCTGTTCTTTTCTTGCAACTAAATTTCACAGATAAGTGGTTTCTTTTCTGTCTGTAGATAGTGAGTAGATCTGATGCTAGATTTAAGGCTGAAATCCTCAGCCAAAGCTCTGTGGAGGGAGCTATATGAGCTTCAGCCGCTGCAAATCTGTTCCCAGGGAGTCCGGTGGAAATTTCAGAGTCACACAAATGAGTTGATAATTTGGAGATATAACACGGATTACCTGCATACAGCTTTTCTTCATAAGTTCCCACTTGGAGGTAACTGACTCCATAGTAGTGACCAGGGAGACCAGCAGAGGAGTATTTGTTTAGCCAACAACAGTGATTCTTGATTCTTGAAAGATGAAGCCTAGACCTTCTCCCTTCCTCTGGGGCACTGCCATCTGAAAGTCACTTGTTCAGCTGAAAGAGCAGAAATATCAGCAAGAATGTCCCCGGCCAGAGTTTCTTTCTGGTCTGAAAGAAGGGGACAGACTCTTTAGGAGGATCTGTGCTGACAGAACAAGGGGAGAAAGGTTTTAAGTTCAAAGAGGTTACATTTAGGTTAGATATAAGGAAAAGATATTTTACAGTGAGAGTGGTGAGGCAGTGGAATAGGTTGCCTAGTGATGTGGTTGATGCCCTATCCCTGAAGACTGTCAAGGCAGGGCTGGATAAGGCCCTAGGCAACCGGATCTAGCTGTGGTGTCCCTGTTCATTGCGGGGGAGTTGGACTAAGTGGCCTTCAGTGGTCCCTTTCAACTCTAAGGATTTTATGATTCCCTAAACTGATGGGAGTGGATGACCCAACAGAGAGCAGGAGACAGCTGGAGATTTATGAGCTGCTTGTGCAAAACTCTTTCTCTGGATTGCTGCTGTGGGTGATGGGGGAGCATGTAGTTAGAAACAACCCACAGCTGTGCTCAGGTGGGGAACCACAACCTACTAGTACAGCCAAGGCCGGGAACGTTGAGGTATGTCTTGTGAGCTCCTTTTATTCCATCAAACTTCTGATGGATGTTTGAGGATGTTTTCAGTGCCAACAAGCTGTAGCCATTTCTGTTCCTATTTGCAGGTGTTTATTGGGGTGAATTGTCTGAGCACCGACTTCTCCTCTCAGAAAGGAGTGAAAGGTGTCCCGCTGAACCTCCAGATTGACACTTATGACTATGGCAATGGGACCAACCAGCTGGTGCACCGCGCTGTCTGCCAGATCAAGATATTCTGTGATAAGGTACAAAACTGCTCTTCCGCCAGCTTGGTTGAGAGAAACATTAAACTCCAGGAGGTGAAAAAGAGAAGTTGTGAGAGGCCAAACAGTGCAGCAGGCAGTGTACTGGAGCACTGATGGCTCAGCATGCTTGGTTGAGCAAGACAAGGCAGCCAGGATGTGTCTGCACCACCAGGACCTTTGTAGAACAAAGCCCTAAGAAAGTTTTCTCCATTTCAGGCCTGCATGAGCGTTTTACCTTTTTAATTGATTCTCCTATTCTGACAAGTTTTTAAATAGTAGAAGAGATGAGAATTTACTCTGAGGTTCTTCCCCAGCCTCAGACATCCTTCCACTGAAACATTTCTAACAGCTATTTTTGTCTGCATTTTTTGTTTCTAAAAAGATAAAAAAAAAAAAAAAAATAATAAGAATTATAAGTATGAGAAAGTTCAGTTCTCTTTTTTTTTTTTTTTTTTTTTTTTTTTTTTTCAGATGGCCTTTAGGAGGTCTCTGAGATGATCACTTTTAATAAAGGCTGCCTTTAGGGTGGCAAGGCACTGGCACCGATGCCCAGAGCTGTGGGTGCCCCTATCCCTGGAGGTGCCCCAGGCCAGGTGGGATGGGGCCCTGGGCAACCTAAGTTGGTGGGGGCACCCAGCCCATGACAGGGCTTGGAACTGGATGGGCTTTGAGGTTCCCCTCCAGCCTCAGCCGTTCTGTGATTCACCTTCAACTTCTTGTCAGTAAACCCTCTACTCCCAACATTACGTTAAAGCTGTCAGTGCCCTAATTTTTGCCTCACGTTTCCCACAGGGAGCAGAGAGGAAAATGAGGGATGATGAACGGAAACAGTTCAGAAGGAAAGGAAAATGCCTGGACTCCAATAACAATGGTTAGTGCGATGTTTGTCACCTAATCTATGGTGGCCTGTCTGTTAACTTCCATGAGATCTGGCCCTGAGTATTGCCATGTCTGATGGAATCAGCCTCATTCAGAAACAACTTGTCAGTCAGGTCTCCTCCTGCCAAGACTCTCAAAGCTCATTACTGATACTTACCAACCCTTCTGAATTGCCATGGGATCATGCAAGAGAATAGTCCTGGAGGACATGGTAGTAAGCAGGCCCTGAAGACTTGGGTCTCTTGGGATCCATCCATTTTCTAATATTTCTGTTGAGTGATGTTGAGCAGGCACTTTCCCACTCACATATAGTCACCTCTTAAGTGCTTGGACTGAAGTGAACTGCACTTTCCATCTGTAGGTCTGAAAGGCTGTGTGCTGTCTGGCTTCAGAGGGAATGAGATCACGTTCCTGAGGCCAGAGACTGACCTCGAAACCCAGCCAGTCCTGTTCATCCCCAACCTCCATTTTTCAAACCAGCAGAGATGTGGCACGGTAAGTCCCTTTGCAGAACAGCCAACCTGTTGCTCACATCACCCCCATCATTTCCAACCTGATCAGACCCCCCAGCATGACTTGTGTTATGTCAAAAAAGAAAACCAAACCACAACTCCTCTGTGGAAATGTGGTGAACTTGAAGATGAAGCTGTCAGGAGTAGCCTAGATGCCATGCAGCAGTGATGGGCAGGATGACTTTTCTGTGTTCCTTGCAGATAGTCCTGTGGTTTACACGTTTCATCTGGAGCCACAGAGGATGAGAGTGGTGGGAGAAATATTGGCAGAAAGTAAACTGTAGAAAAATACAGCCACATCTGTCCCTGTGCAGGAGACATCTCTCACTGCTCCTCTGCCCTTCTATCTGCCCTTGAGCCTGAGACATCCTAGACACAGCCTCCTTCAGAGCTCATCACCATTTCCTCATGAAACAGCTGTCGGTTTATCAAAAGAAGGGAGAAAAGCCACCTGTGACAGCACTGTAGTGGCTGCTGTACTGATGCATCACAGCAAAACAGGTACTGGAAGAATGTAGTTGCAACTAAAGACCTCGCTGAGAAAGGAGTTGGTGCTTGATCCCAAGCAGGTTATGGGATTTGAGCTGCTTTTTGGTGTAGTCAGATATGCGTTCAGGCCTCTTCTAGGCAGAGGAGGGGAGTCTAGAGAGTGCTTTATGTCAGTTTTCATTTAATCCAAGATGCCCATAGAGTTTAATTGTGTTCTTAAGGAAAAATGGATGGACTGGGAGAAGGAATTACATTAAGAATGTGCCCTTGTGTTCCCCGCCAGCTTTGTTGTTTCCCAACACCACAAACTAAATGATCGATGTTTCCTTTTTGTTTCAAGGCTCTTACTCCTGCTGTTCCCAATTCTGCAAACAGGTAAGAATGCAGCAGTCTGTATTTTCCATCCATCAGCTGTTCTATTTCTTTGGGCATATCATGGCAGCTTAATATCTGTGGTACATATCTGTAGATGTAAAATAAAAGCATGGTGTCTCCCTGAAGCCTTGAGTGTCAAAGTATATGTTAAAGTTTGGCTTAGAAGATACTAAGAGGACACTTCTTTCCTCCCTGTCAGTGAGCCCCTCTCCAAGTGTCTGGCCACTGCTCTTACTGAGACCAAATTTGAAAAGAGGCAAAAAATAATTCACAGAATGACCACTTAAGTGTTCTCATCATCTTTTCACTGCTATAAAAGAAACTGGAATGAAGTAGAAATCACGCTTGTAATGAGCTTAGTGTGGGGAAAAGCCAGGATTTACCCCCTGGCTTGATCCAGTGTGTGCTGATACCAACAGAGTAACGAGGACATGGAGACAGAAAACGCTTTTTTAATTACATGGTACCAAAACCACTGCCCACATTCACCAATGTCCCATATGCATTAGGCAGGAAGCTGCAGATCTGGAGATACTCTGTGGCTGTAATTACAGAACCAATATTTATTTGCTGGGTGTTTATTGGGATAATCAGTTTTTCAGTCAAAAGTCAAACTGCTGCCACTGTTTTGTTTGCTATATTGTTCTGTCCTCTTGAGAGTACCGTGTTCCTCTTTCTCAGGCTGCCCCTAAAGCGGAGCGGGGCCTCATTCACAGATGAATTTGACCCAGTGCCTCCAAAGCAAACCAAGGAAGAAGATCCTCAGAGAGGTAAGCCTTGGAGTGGGAACTCTTCTTGGATGTGATGTTTCTATGGACTAAGGTAGCTCTGGATCTTGAAGCATGTGAGGCCACGCTGCTCTGCGAAGAGCCCTGACTCAGTGCTGTGCTTCATTCATTTCAGTGCTGTTGTATGTGAGGAGGGAATCAGAGGAGGTGTTTGATGCTCTCATGTTGAAGACACCGGATCTCCAGGGCCTCAGAATGGCTGTGAGTGTTTCCCAAAAATGGCGGCATATGAACAAACCACAGATCATAGGGTGCTGGCACTTCGCATATAGGAAAGTGGATATAAGGCTGTTTATATCTCGTGTCTGCTTTCTTTTGAGAATGGAAATGGAAACTGTGAGGACAGGTGAAGTCTACCCAGAAATGCTTGTTATGCAGTGTGCCACAGTGAGGAAGAACACACCATATGGCAAGATGGATGGGGCTCTGAGCACTGATGGAGCTGGGGGCGTCCCTGTTCATTGCAGGGAGTGAGACCAGATGGCCTCTAAGGATCCCCTCCAATTCAGTGGTTCTATGATTCTGTGTTCTGTTCAGAGCATCATGTAAGTGTCATCTTGTGACAGCAAATTCTATTGTAAAGCTCCCTTCTCATGCTGGCTACATATGTGCAGTGTGAAGGCAGCCCTGGCCTTGTGCTGAAATTCCCTGTGCAGTATTTGGGGAGCACACAGCTGTATTTCTGCAGTGACCATCAGCAGCGTCCCTGATATCCTACCTCTCTCCGGGGCTTACTAGGAAGAAAACAAACAATATCCTGGACTGGGGATAGCTTTACAACTGCACTTCAGGCTTTGTTGGTTTTTACAAACTTTTAAAAATAGAGTCTGAGAAACGTCAGTACAGATGAGTCAGAGGATTCAGAAGATTCTTTGCCATCTTTTCCGTCCCTAATTACTTCACCACAGACAGACAAAAGCAGCTACTGAAAACAGCTGGGAGAAAGCTGCATGGCTCCCGTCAGCCCAGCACCAGACAGAACCATGCTCAAATTGTTCTGTTCAAACCATTGCTTCAGCCATTTTTTCTTCAGTAAAAAGGGAGGGGTAATCCTTTGCTGCCGAATACCTTTGGCTCAGTGTTTTCTTTGATGTTTATCATAGGAATTTCATTTTACAAGTACCAAGAATTGCTGCGTTTTCTCTTGCAGATTTCAGAAAAATATGGACTGCCTGAAGAAAGCATTTATAAAGTCTACAAAAAATGCAAAAGAGGGTAAGCTAATCTCTCATCTGCTTTTATGCTGTACTTCTACAACCCGATTCTCTTTGGTACGCTGCCATAGGCTGAAATAGCATTTTAACAAGACAGTAAAAAGGAAAGCCATGTGAGGTCTGCACTACTTGGACCATATAAAACGCAGATCCTTGAGGGCTTTAAAGATTTGGGATAGTGGTTGTTTGTTTTATATTTGTATGTAGTGTAAAGGCTTCCAAGGAAAGGCAGATGGACGGAGGAATGTTGGGGGAGTTAATGGCTGACTCCTTATGTCTCAGTCTGAAAGGCAGGGGGTTTAGAGTATGTATCTTACTGTCATCAGAGATGTATAAATCTTTGCCTCTTTGAACCAAACACCTGAATGTCCCTGTCCCTGAGAGAGATCGTACCCATTAAGTAAAAGCCCCAGTAGAGAACTGAAGAGCTCTAAAAGAGGAGTGCTCATTTCCGACTTCCCCATCTTATCCCCAGATCAAAGAGGTCAGCAGGAAGTTCCACTCTGACTTCAGGAGGTGGATCAGACCCTCCTGCACACACGGGCTCTCATGCAGCCCAAGTGCAGTGCTGCAGGTCCCACAACGGACACTTGTCAGGTGTTACTGGGGGACCAGCACAGCTTCTCAGGGCATGGACAGAAGTTTGCAGTAAATATAAAATGGTTTCTCAAATGATTCCACAGTGATCTTTATTATTGACTAGTCAACATGGACCACATATGTGGCTGAGATGGAGTGATGTTGGCTTGCGTGAGCAGAGGACCAGCTGCTGAATCTTCTGTGGAAGGCAGCAGGCTAGATGTAGGGCCTGGTGCTATATTAAGAGATGTTTTCTGGACTGAAGAACAACTCCAGGACTATCCGCCTCTCTGGCAGTGAGTTCTCCCTCCAGCTGTTGGAAAGAGAAGGGCTCATAAATTCCCAAGTTATTTCCATAAAGCTAAGTCCAGAGTCTTTCTTGCAGAGCAAGTGATATACGATCAGGCTTTGCAAGCACTAGTGACTGCCTGGGAAATGAACTCATTGTTTTTACTGGCCCTGATCCCAGTTTTGAGCACGGGGAGAGACTGGTAGAAAAGAAAGGCCAATGATGGGTCCTGCCTTATGCAGTCCTACATTCTTACTAGCACAGCCAGCAGAGTGGTGCTCCACATAAAAACACAGGGGAGCAGAAGCCAGGGGAAGCTGAGGATTGGTCCAATGCTCTGCTTCTTCATTCAGGTTCTGATTTCATGAGATGAGAAGGTCCTAAAGCTCCCTGGATGTGATCTTCCAGCTCATTTGGTGTCACTGTGACTTGATCCCCCGCAGGACCTGTTTGCTCCCAGAGCTAAAGTGAGACTTGTGGGCAGCTGCAAGGTGGGGAGGGGAGAAGCAGAAGTTTCTCCTCCATGCTGTGGTAACACAGAACTGATAAGTAATGGAGCAGCATGGGCCATTTTTAACATAAAATCTGCTTGGAGAGGGCTGCCCTGTGCCATGAGACTTTGTCTGTGGTGCAATTACAAGTGGGGACCCAGAGCATATGGTGCTGTCAAACTCTCCGGGTTAAGCAGCACCTCAAGCCTTGGAACGCACTGTCTGACCTGGCTGCTCTACCTGTCCTGTAGGATCCTGGTCAACATGGACAACAACATCATCCAGCACTACAGCAACCACATGGCCTTTCTCCTTGACATGGTAGAAGCGGAGGACAAGATCCAGGTCATCCTCAAGGAGCTATAAGGAGCTACAGTCAGCACTTACTGGGACTTCTCTACCAACCAGCACATTTGACCCAACAGAGCTCAGCCGAGTATCCCACCTCATTGCCTCTACTTGAAAACTGCCAGCGGGGTGGGACCTTGCACTGCTGGGCCAGAGCCAGCTGGAAGATCTGTTACTGAAGTGAACGTAGAACTTCTCTCTGTTGAATTCATTATTTTATTTTGTTCCCTTCTGGAGACAGGCCTGACCTTCTGTTCAAGCTGGGAAGGCGCAGCTGCACTAACGTGGCTGATGGCTCTGGGCAGCAGTGAGGACAGCCTCTGTTTGCCACCTGCCTCTGCCCATGGCCGATCCAGCTGTGGGCTCTGGCTTTCTCCAGCCCATCAGTTCCACAAAAGCCTCCAACCATTTCCAGTAAGGCTAAGCCTGGCTCTGAGCTTCTCTGTCTGCAGAGACTTTCGGAGATATGTTTAAAACTCAGTTAAATGGACATTGCCTACTTCCATGCCCTCCACCATCATCTCTCTGTAAATACCACCAAGGCCTCCGTAGCCTCCCGTTTATACATTTCTAATGTATCATTCTTTTATATTTTATATGTGTATGAATATGTATTGTTTTATATTTGACTCAGTGCAGTGACACAGAGCATTTCAAACACAGGCTGCTTCACATTTCTCCGTGAACCTCTTTTGTAACTGTGTTGTTGGTTTTGTTGTTTTGGATATTCCATAGTAATAAAGGTTCAGAGACAGAACACAAACCATTTTAACTTGGCTCTGGAGGTCTGAGTCAGGAAGGGCTGGAGAGAAGCCAGGGCAGGGAGAGGACCTGAGAGGAACAGAAAAGATTCCAGGTGGGTTTTGCACCACGTGTTTTTTAACAGCACAAGAAGTCTGTCATTCTAAACAGCCTTGGTTCTCTTTGTGCACATAGGTCTGTGCCTGGATACCTCCTGAACCCTCCCACCCTCAATCCTCCAGGGCAGGGCAGTGTTACAGGTAGCAGCTCTATACTTTCCTCTACTGGTGTTGTGCTGCCCAAACTCCTCACACCTGCTGTCTCCTAACACCTCTGGGTCTCCTGTGCTAAAAAAAACATCTGCAGCTGCCTCATAGGTTAAAAAAACAAACAAAACAAAAAACAGGAAGCAGAGGCCTCCATTTTCTCATTAATCCTTAAATGACTGAAAAGTGGGAACTTTCCTTTTCCCTTTTTAATCCTCTGATTTACCTATCTACATAAAAGCAAAAGGCACGTGAATCCTTCAATCACAGAGAGAGAGGAGCTCTGCACCCACTGGAATGGGGGTTTTGAGATGTTGAAATGTGTCAGCCTGGTGAATTTTGGATTACTTAATTGCTGTTATTGTGATGAGGAGGGCCTTTGAGATGAGATTCAGATAAGTCCAAAGACTTATCTGCCACTGAAGATCTCTCTCAGCACTCCGCACTCCTTCATTTTCATACTTCAGACTTCATCTTCAGCAGGACTTCTCTCATTCACCATCAGTTCTGTAGGGCTGTGCCTACCTACTGTCCTGCTATAGCCAAATTTCAGCTTGAGTTAAAAAGAAAACAGGCACACCAAGAATCCCACAGCACTTGGAACAGATGGCTCCAAAGTCAACAGGTCCCCTCAGCATCCCAGCCCAAGGAGTAGAGGCAGGAACAGACTCTGCTCCTTTTGGGAAGACCTCTGTAGCATGACGGCCTGTGCTGGGTTGGCTGCCATGGCTGGTAGCTGCAGGTGGGTTGGATCCTTCTGGGCTACTGAGCAAGGTAAGAGCAGAGGTCCTCTGCTGCCTGTGGGAGGGGAGCGTGCTAGACAAGAAGGTAGGTGGAAGGGGGAAAGAAAGTGTTTTCCATGCCTTCAGAGGGAGCAGTATGGATTTAGAAGGGCTGCAGCTTTGTTGGTTTTAGTTGTTTGGGGATTTTTTTTTTCTGGTGTGTGTATGCAATGCCATGGGCTCTTGCTGACTGCTAATCTCTGTTAGTTACACTGAACGTCTTAGTTTCAGAGCTAACTCCCTGCTGGTATGAATAAAGTCATTGTCACCCATCTGATTCTCCACACAGTCTCACAAGTCTAACTCTAGTAATATTACTTTCGATCAAAACCAGCAAAAGCTGTGTTGCTGGTAATTGGGCTCCCAGCACAAAAATGTAGAGTCTTGCTGGATTGTACAAGGCTCCACTTCATGCTGGCTACAAGAGTGTCTTAAATTTTGCAGGGTAAGAACAGCCCAGAATGGAGCTGAGCTCATCTGCACTATTCAAACGACTTTCTCTGTTTGTGGAAAGGTGGCTAAGATACATGTACTTTTCCGGTGCAGATTCTAGGTTAGCCTCAATTTGTCAGGTTTTTAATCATAGTAACCATACTGCATGCAAGGAAATGCTGGTTACTTCATGCCAGCTTTCTTCAGTGTCAGAACAAGTACAGTCACCACCCCCTGCCATCACAGGAGGGTGGGTATTTTGCTGATTGGTATCATTCATCCCTTCCAGCAAATGTGAGTTGCTGTAGAGGTTGCGTAAAGCAGCTCCCAAATATGTGTGAAAGCATTCTTGACTCTTTGCCTGGAGCCCACCAGTTCCTTTTGAAGATGAAGATACAAGTGATGAAGGCAATCCATCTCTAAGTGAACAAAGGTCGTGTGAAAGTATGAACCCACTTGTGTTTTGCAAAGGCCCTACACTGACTGATAAATGAGAGAAGCTCCCTCTGGAGCAGCATCTGCTCTGGACATTCAGCAGCTGTTTTGTGCTGACCTGAGTCAGAAATGCTTAAAAAGGTTTGTAAAATGTACTGGGGTATGTGGTGGAGGGTGTCTATACATGCAAGCAACTTGCATCGCGCAAGTATGATGCGCACTCTGTGCAGGTATTGTCACACAGCATCAGGCTTTGGTGCACAACCTGAAGTGTCAATCCCTTGAACGAGCACAGAGCAGAAGTGTAGGATTTGTCTGTGCTCTTGTTTTCATATATTCAGATGTTGATAAGAAAATACTCCCTTCTCAGGGGCTATGTTTTTATGGGCATGGTCAGCCTGCAGCGCCTTTCTTTTAGTTTATAAAAGCACCAAGAGAAGCTTTTTTACAACTCCCATTAGTTATAGCAATTATTCAACATCAAGGAAATTAGAGGCTTTTAAGTCAACCTCAGCTTATGATCATCTTCCAATGTGCAGCACTATGTGCTACAGATCAGCTGCTGCACTATCAGGCTGAGGACAGCACTGCTTGCTGTGAGTAAGCATGTTGCAGACTTTGAAAGCAGTCCTGTTTGAGGAACTTGATTCTGATGCGCAGGTTCTGCTGCTTACAGCACTGAGACCCACTTCTGTTCACAGATGAAGGAATGCTTCCCAAGTGCTCTGGGTGAATAAACACCTGCAGTGACAGAGATGCATTAAGAAAAAAGAACATGGCAGTGAGCTGCATTTTGTAAGAGCTCTGGTGTCCTTGATGCTGGGTGGAGGGCTCTGCTGCTCATTTGTACAAATAGCACCCAGTTTCTATGCCTTTATTCATGCTTATTCATTCCTTTATTCATTCCTTGTATCATTGTTCAAGCAGCTGAAGATCTCAGTATGTGGCACGGTTCTCCATTGCTGTGAAGGGAAAAACAGCATCCTGTGTTTTGTTAGGACACCCACACAGTATGTTCGGAGATGATCAATGACACAGATACCTTGAAGAGGTCAATAGTTAATTTCCTCAACCAAAATCCCTGGGAAATGATTGGGGGAGGGAGGGGGAGGTAGAAAAAAGAAAAAAAGGTCCAATTGTAATGCCACAGTGAGCTCACTTTATTTATGGTAAAATAGAAAGCCTTGTCAGAGATCCAGCTTCTGCACAGACCTGATGCTCAGCTGTTCCAAAGCAAAATAGCACTAAAGCCAAAGCAGCAATGCCAAATGACTCCAACAGGGAATTCCTCTCATTCTCTCCCAATGATTGAAAAAGGAGAGGCTGCAAGCTTTAATGCCAGCAGTTGAGTGTGAAATGTTTTTGTGCTTTCCTATGTTATGGAGCAGAGATCTTCACTTCTCATAGTTAATTTGTCCTTTCCTCTGGCACTCTCTCTTTATCAAATGCCACTTGGCATTGCTTCCCTCCCACCCCGCAGCTTCCCAATCCTTTTACAAAACCTTTGCTAAAAGATGCAACTGCTGAGAGATGTAGAGAAGATACACTTGTTGAGTAAGGAGAGCCATGGGATTTTTCATGTCTTTGTGGTCAGGAATTTATTGTTGATCTTAATCTAAGGCCAGGCAAAGACTCTGCATGATGACAATAAATTTACTTGAGTGATTTGCTGATAGGCAGATTTATTTGTCTTCTCATAAGTCTTATGAAGGGAACAGAGGGCTTTGGAGAAGGGAGTTTCCTTCCATGGCTATAATCCCTTTGAAAGGGGTAGGATGTGATATGTGGGAATGGCAGTTCTGACTTGAAGGAAGTATTTGAGACTTTTACAAGCCTCCTTCCAGCTCTAATTCCCAGCCCCAGGAGGAGCTGGGGAAATGGCAGTGTGTTCTTTGGGGTGTAAGTTTAGGGCATAATGCCGGCTATGGAAAAGAAACACAGCCTAGTGTAAAAGCCCCAGACTGGGATATGAGAGCAGAAGGTTCTTTTTCCAGGTCATGTGTGCTCTGGCTTCTTGCTTTGTAAAATAGGGGGTGAGAAATTACCCCTACATCACAAAGGTGGTGCAGTACTTAATTACTGTTTGTAAATGTCTGAAAGATCATCTGATACTGGTACCCTGATACACTGCTCCAGGGCATTATCAGCCCACAGTCTTCTTCAAGGCTATGTACTGTAGCCCTTCCATCTCTAAGCCAGTTCCTGCAAATGTGTGGCAATAACTGGCCAAATTGGACCAGGTGATATAGTGGGACGCTGTAGGATTGCTCTGTTGTCTGACATAGTTTCCCACGTCATGTGAAAGTGGCTTTTTTTCCAGAGTTGGACTAATACGAAATGATTTCTCTTTGCTTCCTTGGTAGGTTTATGTGGCCAGTAGGTTGCAAGCTTTGTAGCATATCTGTCTGCCCCTGTCAGTTGGAGGTCTTTGACTTGAAGCAAGATGTTATACCCTTGGGAGACAATTTGATGAGGGAATTGTTGATGCTGTAGTGACCTACAAAATAAACAGGAAAGAGATGTAAATACAAAATATGGCTACAACACTGGTGTTGAGGAATGAGAGTATATCAGTCAGCAAACGTAGGGAAAAAAGAACCGGTATAACAGGACTGTGTGGGGAAACCAATTCTGGGTTTTAAAAGCGCTTCAAGAGACACTGATAAGGCAATACGATCTGTCTTGAGCATAGTCACAAATGGAAATGGTAGTAATTTTAAAGAATCAAATAGGAGGAGAACTTGCATGTGATGTGACTTGTATTATAAGCTACACGCCCTCATGCTTGGGGTCTCAAACCTCAACAGATAATGGGCCTGTTTTGTAGTCGGGGTACTGTGCAGCTTGGTACATTATATACTAACGTAGCTTCTCTGGAAGTCTCTCGCATTTACGCTGAATTATGGGGTGTTCTAGTGATTCCTTAAGGCTACTCAAAACCGTTAGTATTGTTTCAGGAAAGCTGTCTCAGTGGAGATTCAAAGGGGCCTATCCACAGCAGTTGGAAGGCAGGGTCACTAGAATTCTGACTGAGACAGAATCATCTCCATTGTGAGTGATTCTAATGATGTAGCTCTGTAGGTGGTATTACGACTAAAATTTGGGAG